CCCACCCACCCACACACCCACACACCCACACACACACACACATATATATATATATATAAAGTTTTATTTACTCGGTGCAAGGGCCCACTCACAAGAAATACAACACAACCAAAAGATAACAAATGAATACAAATATACCCCAAAAAATAATGAGAAATAAATATATTGAGGCAATAGCTCATGAGCATCAAACATGATTGGTGAGTTTACCTCTTCCCCTCCCCCTGGTTCTAAGGACGAGATCCAACAAGGTACTATCAATGGAGTTTGCTCGAAAATATTAAACAATCATCATGGGAATGTCTGGGTTGTGTTATTTTCTTTTTCTTATCTTTTTAGCTTTAATTTTAAAATATTATAATTGAATTTTTAAGTTGTATCTGCAAAGTCTGTATTACATATAAAATATTATTAATTTTGATTGTTCATATTAAATACGTTGCATTCAATTTATCTTGTAATTTTTTTTATATTGCTTGCAAAGTTTTCTAGTAATTTCTAAAATTTTTATTATAGACAAATCGACTTCAATCGAAACCCAAAATCCAAAGCACCGAGCCAAACAAAATTTTGATAAATTCGAATCAGTCAAACCGAAGTTTAATTCGGCTTATAAGGTTCGTTCATATAAACCGAAATTTAGTTTGAAGGTATAAAAATATGATAATAACAAGAGAAGGATTATGTAACGTTGATAACTAGAAATGTAATTTCTAAACATTTTGAAGAAGATTTATTTAAAAAATTTAGTTTTCGATTCCTTTGGTTAAATTTCCATTAAAATCAAGCAGTAAAATAAAAATCAAATTCTAATATTTTTAAATTCATAACTGAATTTTCTCTGTTAACCGAACTAAATCAACCATATTGACTCGGTTCCTTTCAGTTATTCGGTTTGAACCAAATATTGCACGCCCCTCCATATACTCATGAAAAATGAGGCCATTTTATTTTTTAAATATATGACCAGTGATGTAGCAGCACTTAAAATATCTATATTTCTCATGTCACCATGGACGTACCGATTTGGGATTCTCTTTGAATTATGCAGTATTCACTTGGATTATCTACATTCGAGGGGTACAAAGGTTATAGTGCCGAGCAAGGAAATAAGGTATAAAAGCTTACAAATTCCTCTCTCTCTCTCTCTCTCTATATATATATATATAGTCAAATCTTAGGATTAATTGATAGTTTAATTATAATATGCTTATAATATATATAGGAATTACGCAAGGTTATATGTGAAACAATATACAAAGACATGGGCATAAAAGACAATGAAGTGTTCGTGTCAGATGGTGCACAATGCGACATTGCTCGCCTTCAGGTGCAAATTAATGAGAAATGACTTGTTTAATTCACATCTAATATTTAGATTATCTGACTTTGATTGTTCGGCCACTTGCTTGCATGCAGCTTCTCTTCGGGTCTAACGTCACGATTGCAGTGCAAGATCCTACCTTTCCGGTGATTAATTTAATTAAAAATAACTAGATGCAGATTCACCATTTTATATTATTTGTTTTATTAAATTGATCTGCATTGCTGCAATACGAAGTAGATGCATTAATTTATGATTTAGGGTCTGTTTGGCGCAGCTGCAGATTGTCAGCTTTTCAGCTGCAGCTGCGCTGCCCCAGGAAGCAGCTGTGGAGAAGCAGCTG